GAGAAAAGTGCTAGGTTTGTGTGTGTGTGTGTGTGTGTGTGTGTGTGTGTGCATGTGCAGGCCAAAATCCTGATGGGATTGCAACGTGACCGTCCTTCACGGGAGTGGGGGGTGCTTTCTCTCTCTCTGGCAAGCACATGCACCTTCTGGCTAGAAAAAGAAAAAAAGAAAAAATGTACATGAAAAATCTAGTTATTTCTCAGGACCCAACAATTACTGTCTTCTAAGCGTGCTAAGGGCAAACATGGAGAAATCAAGTATTTGCTCTTCCTGGATTGGGAGCAAGGAGGTCTTGTTTGGGCCTCAGGGAAATCTTCAATGCACTAGAGTTTTATTTTATTTATCTACCATTTTATTATGTTGTAACCTATTTTATGGGGAATAGGCAGTGTCAACACGAGGGTGGCAATCTGACGGGTTGCCTAAGTCTCAGCAAAGGAGGGAGCAAAGTCCTTTCCCCATTAGTTTCCCACAGGCGTCCAGCCAGGTAAACTACTCACCTTCCTCCAGGCAGCCTTGTGAAGTGGGAAAGTATATGGCAGGGTCTCGAGCTGAGAATATTCAGGACAGGTGCAGGTCATGTCTGGGAAGGACGTCAGCAATGGAGGGCGTGTACACACAGCCGTAGGCCACTGTCCTCGGTGAGACCACGCTCCCTCGAGAGACCCGCCACTGACTTGTGCTCAGCCAATGGGTCCCTTCTAGGAGCACAGGCCTGAAGGTGGCCCATTTCCTGGCTAATCAAGAGAAACTGTTGGTCTGGACATTCTGGTAAAATCTCCTGATTCTGACTCTTGCTTTGAGTTTTTAGAAAATGCTTTGTATGGGCCGTGGGAAACACATATTTGGACTACATCCTCTTCCTTAACGCTGAGTTGTTTATCTGGCTGAAAGCCTGTGGAAACTAATGAGGAAATTAGGACGTTCTTAATTTGTTGGTCTGTCCCACTAACGCAAGTGGGAGTTCCACTCTGACAGAGGGCCTTGGGGACGTGGAAGATGCCAGCCCCAGAGGTCAGCTGGGTCTTGGTCAAAATATCACTGGCAAAGTGTGTGTGTGGGTTCCACTGGCAGGAAGCAGTGCTGGGATCTCTGTTAGAGTGGCTGTGACGGGCGGGCATTTCACGTGTCCCGAAGGCCAGAGTGTGGGTCTCTACTTGCTGAGGTGGCTGCGCGAGACCAGAGTATGAGCTGGTCTGCGAGAGTCATGGCAGGACAGGCGTGTAGGAAGTTTCTTCCACTCTTTGACCGAGTATTGGTTGAAAGGAGTTCTGCAGAAACAGTAACCAAAGGAGGCGTTATGCTTCCAGCAAAGTCTCAAGGAAAAGTATTGCAAGCAACAGTAGCAGCTGTTGGATCTGGCTCTAAAGGAAAGGGTGGAGAGATTCAACCAGTTAGTGTGAGAGTCGGAGATCAAGTTCTTCTCCCGGAGTATGGAGGCACCGAAGTAGTTCTAGATGACGAGGATCATTTCCTATTTAGAGATGGTGACATTCTTGGCAAGTATGTAGACTGAAATGATCACTACTGAAATGGCATCACACGAAGCTGCCCACTCCACTGAAGTTGTGAAATCTTTCACCATGTAAATAATTTCCCTGTTTCTCCTTTATAATAAACTTATGATATCTAATGTGAAAAAAAAAGGATAGTCTTGATGACCTTCTGGGAGGAGAGCTGAACTGAAAACTAGCTGGTTCTGGAAACTAAAACGAAAGGAGTAGAATGGATTGTCAATAAAGGGGTGTGTGTGACCCTGTAGCCTAATTTTGAAGGGAGCCAGTGCTCCACATAACAGCCTACACAGTTCAAATCCCAGCCCCAACAGCAATTACAGAAATAGTTTTGTTTGTTTGTGTGTTTTTTTTAAATACCAGAGATGTGCATGTGTGTGCCCCAGATCCTAACAGGATGGAGAAATGGAAAAGAAGAAATTGTGGCGTGACTGCACCCCATTGGGGTGGTCTCTCCTTTCTCTCTCTCTGGCAAATATACATACCCTCTGGCAATTAAATTATTTAATAAACCCCTGGATAACAATCACCCTGTGCCTGACCCTGTTCTAGTTACGTTAATACAGCACGTCACTTAATCCTTCTAATAACTTAATGTGATGGGACCTAGGATCACCCCATTTTAGAGTTGAGGAAAATGAGGCCCAGAGAAGTTAAATGACCGGTCAGAGTCATACAGCCTGGTAAATGGCAGAGCCAGTATCTGAACCCAGATGTCCTTGCTCCTGAATGCAATTTCTCACGCTTTCTCAGTTCCCCTTTCCTCATTCTCTCTAAACGCAGCTCTTGAGAGACCCCCCTTGTGTCTGAGAGCACATGCATGTCATTACCCAGGCCTGTATTTACAGGGTAGGTACCTCACAGTCACAGGTCGGGCCTGAAGACGCCCAAGCTCACTTCACTCACACGTGCCTGATTGGAAACTTGACCCTGCAGATGGGGCCTGTTGCTGTTCCCCAGCTGACACTGCCCCTGTGCAGCATGGGCCCGCCTCCTTTGAAGCTTTAGGATTCTTAACTCCTTTTCAAATCCAAGACAGTTCAATCCTTCTCATTTGACACATAAATTGAGACTTTATCGATATTTTTAGAATGAAGTATTATTTCGAATTCACACCATTTTTGCACGAGTGAGACCCTAGTGCTCACTGGTGCTCTGAGTTCACAGGTTTTGAGGCCACAGGAGATAGAATGATCTCGAAGGGCCCAGCTTAAACCAACCTCAGCATTGCCCACCCTCTGTTGGTTTGGGTGTCTGATCAATAGGTGTTTGTGGAACACTTGCTATGACTCGGGTCCTCTCAACACCAGCAATTAAAGACCCTCTCCCTGGTCCTAGGTCCTAGACTCACATTCCAGTGACCTTGTGAATGGCCCCTCCTGCCGGGCAGGCTGTTTCTGAATCACTTCCTCTGTGCTGAGCCCTGTGGTCTGGAGGACGTGAATATTTTATAGCCCACGTGTTTATGTCTCAAGCCCGGCCTGGTTTCAACGCACTTTGCCAGATGAGTGACTTAACCCTTCTCTTTCTCGGTCTCCTCCTTTATTCTAGATAAATGACTTGATCCTTCTGTGCCTCAGTGTTCTCTTTTGTAAAGTGATGATAGCAAAGTGGCCTACCTCCCAGGGTAAGGAGGTAAAATGACTTAGTTCCCAGGTCAGAAGGATTTTGTGAGTGTGCAGGAGGCTGGCTGGAACTTGACTAGCATACAGTGTGTGCTAGGTCTGGTCATTTTCAGAGGCCACTGTTGGGTAACTCCCGTGAAACCTGCCCATGTCTTCTCACGCAGGCCCTGGCCTGGTCTCTGGGTTTCCAGAGTGCCCGGAGAATTTTGTCTCAACAGGGAATGGCTCCAAGACACATAGAAGGCTTTCTGGAGGCCCTCTGACCCCCATACAGCTTCACAGCCTGCACAGACACAAGGGCCAGGCTCCGTGGCCGGAATTCGAACCATGATCAGCGCGGTGCCTAACCGCCGCTGTGGGGCCGGCCGACTGTGCAAGTGCAGCTTGGATGGTGCTTGGACGTCCATGTTGTCCTCGATTTTGAAATTTCAGATGTCTACGTTTTGTACTTGTTGGGTGTAAAGTATTTTTCTAGGGTCCATAACATCCTCTGGACGGGGCTGGGCAAACTCTGGAATTCTGCGAGGCGCGTGGTATGACCTCTGCTTCCCCGAAGCTGTGTGCTGGCTCCCAGTCGTGACCTGCTCTCTAGGGGCGTGTCTACTCGGCGGCGTGGGCAGCCTGTGATGGGGAGGCATGAGGCGCTGCTGGCTAGGAGTGCTCACCTTTCACAATTCAGAATGAACTGGCCCCTGAGTCCCAAAAAGCAAACCTAACTCCAAAGCATTAGTTTGTAATGAGCATTTGGAAATTGTTTGCGGCAATGGAGGGGACGTGAAACGTGACACAGTAGAGATGAATAGAAAAGTTCTGTTTGATGTCTTGGTTTTGCCTGCCGAGGTCTTTGACCGCCAGCTTCTCCTGGCCCCTCACCAGCCCTCCTCCTTCTATGCCCACTCACTGTCCGCCCACCGCCATCTCCCTCGCCTCCCCTTTTTCTAATACGGAGAAATGTGTCTGCCTTGGCTTGCCCTCTCATTTCCTCACTTAGCAGTAAAGAAACTTCCCCAGGACGCCCTCTCTTCAGAGACCCTAGACAATCACAAAGAACACACAGGCTGAGCACTCTAATCTGAACATCTGAAATTTGAAACGCTCCAAAATCTGAAACTTTTTGAGTGCTGACTGATCTTTGCCTTTTTTCCAAATAAATTATTTAATTTTTAAAATTCACTCATTTATTTTATTTATTTTTTAAAAAGAATGATTTATTTAATTCCATTCATTTTCATTATTTTTTAATTTGATGAGAGAGAGAGAGAGAGAGTGAGAAAGGGAATGTGAGAAAGCAAGCCTCCAGGTCCGGGACTCCAACTGTGGTCGGCCATGTGGAAATCTAGCGCCTCTAATCACCATGCCACCTGCTGGTCCCCATTTATTTATTTTAATTTGACCAGAGAGAGACACACACACATACAAAAAGAGAGAGAGACAGAGAGAGAGAGAAAATGAGAAAGCAAGCCACCAGGTCCAGGACTCAAACCATGGTCAGCCGTGTGGGAGTGTCCAGTGCCTTAACCACCATGCCACCTGCTGGTCACCGGCCTTTGCCTTTTGTTGGTTCAACATACACAGTTTGTTTCCTGCACAAAATTCTTAAAAACAGGATGTAAAATCACCATTAGGTACAGGTGCAGATGAAACATTCATGAAGTTCGTCTGTAGACTCGGGTCTCATCCCCAAGAGACCTCATTATGTATATGCAAATATTCCAAAATTTGGGGGGAAAAAAACAAAATAGGAAAAGTTCTGGTTCCAAGAATTCCGGAAGGGATACTCAGTCTGTACGCTGTTTCTTTATTACGTCCTTTCTCTGATCACGTGGGCTCAGCTCACCCCTGTGGCCTTGATCCTTCGCAGGTGGCGATTCCGGAATTGGCCATGCTTTGTGCAAGTATCTGGACCAGCTGGGCTTCACTGTATTCGCCGGCGTCTTGCATGAAAAGGGCTCCGGAGCAGAGGAGCTGCGCAGAACCTGCTCCCAGCGCCTCTCGGTGCTGCAGTTGGACATCACCAATCCGGCTCAGATCAAAGATGCTCACAGCAAAGTTGTGCAGAAGGTGCAGGACAGAGGTACTGCCTTCCGCTGCCCTCGACAGCCCCTCCGTCCCCACCGATGCCCCGCTCTCACCCCAGCTTCCGGTGACACTGTCCTGCACACTGTCCTGGCAGCCGACTGCACCCGAGGACACCTGCACCGACCCCCACACTGCGCCTCTGTGGACGTGAGGATGTCAGGAACGAATCAGGCACAGATGGCCCCCCAGTCCCATGGCTGCCAGTGTCACAGCCTCGCACTCATGGACGACCTCCCAGCCACTCCTCATGGCTTTTTGCCCTGTGCTTTTTTAAAATTTAGAATTTCTGGAATACCTATCTTCTATGCATATCTTTGTGGCTTACAGTGCTTTTTTTTTTTTTTTTAAGAATTATTTTGTTTAGCTTTGTTTACTTTATTTATTTCTTTTAATTTGACTAGAGAGACACA